GTGTGTGTACGTGTGTGTGTGTGTACACATTTCTGCCTTAAAACATTCAGTCTCTTAGTTCAGCTGTATGTATATACGTGTGTGTGAATTCAGTTGTCGTAAACAGGAAACTCCCCCCCCCCAACCCCTACCATGAATCTTGCAGAGAAAAGAGAGAGAAGAGGAAAAAGAAAACACCAGGGCTTGTTCAGTGTGAGAGTTCAACTGAAGGCCAATAATCGTGTGTGTGTGTGCGTGTGCGTGCATGTGTGTGTGTGTGTGTGTGTGTGTGTGTGTGTGGTGTGTGTGTGTGTGTGTGTGTGTGTGTGTGTGTTTTCCAGGGATGAAGGTTGTTGGGGGGAGGGATGATACAAATCCTGCCTTTCAGAGAGGGAAGAGAAATAAAAATAGCTATGAATGTTATCGCTTTCAAATGGTTCTTAGGCCTGAGGAGACGTGATCCAAATAACAAGCGACAAGCTACTTGCATACATCGGTGCCAGATAAAGACCCCACATCGGAATTTGATTAAGCACTATCAGGCAACCCCATTAAAAATGGCAGGCAGCCAAGCAAGCATTCGTTTTCCATCCATCTGCGGGCCGCTGGCTCCTTGCTTATGCAAGTTGTCATAAAAAAACGAATCTGCCGGCTGTGCTGCCGATCAGGTAGCAGAGGGAACGTTTTCTCCATAGGGGGGTTGCCTTCAGCATCGCTGTCACTGTCCCTCGAGGGGAAGCATCCACAGCCCTCCCTGCTTCAATGGCACCCACTTGCTGACTTTTTTATTGTATGCTGACAACCTGAGAAAGGTTGCCATTGGCCTTCCTTCATGGCAGCTATATTTTAAGCTTGCATGTAGACACATATATCTGCCGTGTAAAATTGTTGAGGAGGAGGCCCTTAAGGTTATCTTCGTCATCACTGTTGGTCTTTACTTGGCTGTTTACTTGGTTATAAAATATGCTCCCTATTCCCTCACAGGCTCACAGAGCAGCGTGGCATGATTTATAAATCTAGCAGAGGCAACAAAGGTGAAGGAATGAAACTGTAATATTGCTTAGGACGGAGGCGTGTGAAGGTCAGTTTAACACTTTGACAGAATCAAGTGGGTCACTGTTTTCTAGACCGTAAGTAACAATTACCTGCTGTCCAGGGTTTTCTAGGTAGAGAGTACTCAGCAGTGGTTTATCAGCCCCTTCTCCTAGGGGCAACCTGAGACTGTGAACTTGCCCAAGGCCACCCAGCCTGGCTGTCCTCTCTATAGGCACAGAGAGGAATAAAATTCCTGACCTCTGGATCCAAAGTCAGGCTCATTGAGCTGTCCAGCCAGTTTTCTTAGACTATACCACTTCTTAAAATATGGATTGGGGGCAGGCGGGCGTTTCTAGTTGCGATTTAGCTAATCCCGCTGGAAAACATCCAGAGACTCATAGGAAAACATTGTATTCCTACACCTTCATTATTTCAGGTTTTGTTATGTGAAAGTTTTCCATTTATGGGTGAATCAGAACGGAACCATTCAAAACCTCCAACCTATGGATAGTACAGTGAGATAAGTATCTGGCTGTAGAGCCAGAAGCTGGGAGTTCGATTCCCCACTGTGCCTCCTTGACAAGGGCTGGATTTGATAATCCTTAGGGTCCCTTCCAGCTCTGTGCTTCTAAGGTTATTATTGCCAAAATAAGTGAATGTTTCTTCCTCTGGAAATGAAACAAGACTGATAGGCTCATAAACAATGAGAATGGAAAAGCAGTGATCATCAGCATCATCTTATATGTCATCATAATCATCAGTATTCTCTTTTATGCTCGTTGCTGTTATATGCTATCAAGTTGGAACTGACATAGAGATTTTCAAGGTAAGTGAGATATTTAAGAACTAGTTTTACTGGTTCCACATTGCCAGTGAGTATCCATGGTTGAGTGGGGATTTGAACCTCTGCCTCCTGGGTCCATGTTGGCCACTCTATCCAGAACATCACACTGAGATTACAGATCTTTTATGAAGTGCTTTTTAAATACTCAAAGCATACACTATCTCACCCACTTGTGAGCAGATTTCCTTAACAGACAGGCAAAGGGAGAAGCAAGGAAATGAAAGATCAGAACAGATAAAACAGCACAGAAAGAGAGAACCAGTTGCACCTCATTTCCTTCTCTGTGTGGCCATGATTCCTGCCCAGGCCTTCTGTCCGACAGCAGTAAGTTTTCAATAGACAGTCAGCCAATCGAGAACTTAGCAGCTAAGTGTAACATATAGCCCGGCTAAGAACATCAGAGGATTAAGCAATGTGTGCTGCTTTTACACTGTCCCATAGTGCTTAAAACTCTCTTTCAGTGGCTTATAATTTAATTATGCAGGCTACACACTGCCTTCCCTCAGAAAACTGGAAGCTCAATTTACTGACCTCAAAAGGATGGAAGGCTGAGTCAACCTCGAGCCAGCTACCTGGCCGAGAATCAAACGAAGGTCATGAGCAGAGTCTTCACTCCAGTACTGCAGTTTATTTATTTATTTTATTTATACCCCACCTATCTGGTCATTGTGACCACTCTAGGTGGCACTTTAGCCACTGCATCACAAGGTTCTTCATGTCTAGAAGTAGCATTTTGTTATTCCAACTGCAATGATACCTTCTATTATGGGTAGCTTCCGAAAAAACCCAAAGTAAAACCCATGATTTATCATATAATGATGATTCAGTGGCCTATAGTAGAGTGGTAACGTGTGAATTACTGTAGTTACTGTGTTTTTTCATCTGGTTTACACCGGTGTCTATGCCAAATCCAGGGACTTGGTGGCGCTGCAAGTTAAACCCCAGAAGTCTCTGTGCTGCAAGGTCAAAAGACCAGTAGTCATAAGATCGAATCCATGTGACAGAGTGAGCTCCCGTTGCCTGTCCCAGCTCCTGCCAACCTAGCAGTTTGAAAGCATGCAAAAATGCAAGTAGATAAATAGGTACCACCACAGTGGGAAGGTAATGGCGTTCCGTGTCTAGTTGCACAGGCCATGTGACCACGGAAACTGTCTACAGACAAACGCTGGCTCTATGGCTTGGAAATGGGGATGAGCACCGCCCCCTAGAGTCAGACACAACTAGACTAAATGTCAAGGGGAACCTTTACCTTACCTATGCCAAATGGTTAAAAAGATATTTGCAGTTGAGGTCTTAAGATGAGAAGAAATGTCATCAACCCATTTGTAATATCTTATCAAAAACAGAATCATTAATTCTACCTCTTTATTATTTTTTAAATTTCTCATAAACATAAACTTTCTAGGGCAATAAATTGCATCAAGTGTATTTTGTGCAAGGCCAGATGGTCCTCCTTTTCTGCCCCACTCAGGGCATCTGTGCCTATACGATCCATTGATGTGCCAGTATAGATCTGACTGAAAAAAATGGAATGATCAAGCAGCTGGACACATTCATTATTGGAGCCTTAGGAGCAAGTGATGGAAATACTTTGAAATTTATATCAGGAACACAATATTCAAAACGTTTTTCAAGCTTTTCTGTTCTTGCTTTTTGAACCTTCTAACTTTCTTCTTTGCCAAAAGATGTTGAACTTGTAGATATATGCAGCCTCTTTATTTGAAAGGCCATTTTTCCTTTTAAAGGCCTGCAAATTCAATAAGATCACTGGGAGAGATCCTGCTTCAGTTGACTGGGTCATCTGACAATGTCACACTAGAGAGCTTTTTCCATCGCTGCACTTGTCCTTTGGAACTCCCCCCCCCCCGTTGCGACTTAGGAGGCAGATTCTGTTATGTGTTTTGGGCACCTCTTGAAGAATGCTCCCATTTTCCCCTCTGATTTTGTTTGATTGTTTATACTTCCTGTCATTTCATCATTTCATCCTTAATGCGTTAAACATGCATTAAGTTACCTGGGGAGGTATTTTTTTACAAAGTGACAGTTATGCATGGGTATATTATGTTGGCCTTGTGCTCTTGAATTTTCTTCTTTTTAACTATGTTTTTATAACATATTATAAAATTAGGACTGTGTGTGCACACCTGTTTAGATAAATATCTATATTCTGTGAGTACTGAATGCTGAGGTCAGGAGACGTAGGCTCTGCTTCCCTACCATCTTTGGTTTTTCTGTTCTTCTGGTGGTAGCACAGCCAAAGTTCATAACAGCTGCCTTCTGTTTCTCATTTTGATGAGTTTTCTGGACGGGAGGTAGGCAAATAATTCTGTGCGAAATAATTCTTGGGGAGACCCACTCCCAACAAGTTATAGCCATTTGTAGGACTGGTAGTTTTGTGTTGTTTTTCCATTCATTCTGTAATACACAAATACCTGCAAAGGCACAGACATTAGGAATATCCCCAAAGCAAAAGGAATAGCCCATCCCAAGGCTTCTAAAAGGACATAGCACAGATCAGATCCTGCTGTAAATACCCTTATTTGGACATGATTGAATCAAGTGAGTCAGAGCATGGCCTTATTACAAATTTACTAATTCAATCCATTTCAGCAGGAGAAGGTTAGCCTTGCATCAAAATTACATGTTTTGAACTTACTTAATGTGAAGTGGAATGACTTGTCCAACAACTTTGAAAATCCTGATTATAGATAGTTGAGCATTTTCAATCGGTTTTGCAACTTTGCTATATATGCTCTTGAATAAAATATTTAATAGGAGATGGAAGTCTGCTTGAAGCAGTGCACCTGCAAGCCTGGGATTCCTGCCAGATGAATATAGTATTATCCAAAGTAAACTGCTGCCTCCTTTCCTTTATCAATCAAGAAATGACAAAACTGACCGAATAAGGTTTGAATGCAGTTAACCAATGCCTTTAAAGGGTGTTAGTGGAATGCTTCTCTTCTTCCCCTTCTTCTTCTTCTTCTTCTTCTTCTTCTTCTTCTTCTTCTTCTTCTTCTTCGGGGGAAGGGTTCACCACCCAGATTGTTGCTTGCCCAGTTCAACACATAGTTTCTGATCTAATTCATATGGCTGAACTACTAAGCTGAGCTTTCTTCCTTCTTCACTTGCCAGTCTGACCCAGATAAACATTTCTTCTAGCAGGAAATGTGATAATCATAGCACTGTTTGAGACTGCAGGAAACTGGTCATGAGAAGCTAAGAACTGCACTAAGGGACAAAGGTCCAGTTTGAATGAGGAGCAAATTACCTTGTTAAAAAAAACCACACACATTTTGACAGCATTTGCTGTTTGTTTGCTTATTGGAGACAGATATATATTCCACTAAAAGGCACTCAAGGGAGCTACAAATCAAACAAATTAAAACATCACACGTATTAATTAAGACATATCAACACATCAGGAGAATTAAAAATAGGACTTAGTCAATGAAGAAGCTGGCTGGATAGCTCAGTGGTTTATGTATCAGAGTTTGATTCCCCTCTGTGCGCCTTGTGACTAGAGCCAGCCTGTGTGGCCCTGGGCAAGATGCACAGTCCCAGGATGCTCCCAGAAGATGGGAAGGGTCAACCACTTTTGTGTTTTCTACATTGAAAACCTTGGAAAGGGTCACATAAGTGGGAATCAAACGGATGTCACGCAATGCATCCACACATACATAGTCAATGAGGAGCCCTGTCTGCAGCAGCCTAGCCTTTACCTGCTGCCAGGATATTATAGGGAGGGAAAGCCAGTCTTTCACAGCAAGGAGTTGAAGAGCCTGAAAACAGACACCGAATAAGCCCCACATCCTTGCAGCTCACCCTTGTAAATGTTCTTCTGAATGGGACAAAAGAAAGACCACTCCTGGGGATCTCAGACTCTGAGCAGACCTGAATGGGTGACCAAAGTTCTTATGATCATAACTCTTCAAGTGCCTTGTTACTTACATAGCCAATACTAAAAAGAGGGCTAAGAAGGATGGCTGTGTTGAAAACCTGGTAGTAAGTCACAACTAGATTAGCCCCACTGAATCCATAGGGATTCGGTGAATCAACACCTATGTAAACTCCATGGGCCTACTCTAGTTGCAATTTACTGCTGGATTTCAGCCTCTGTGTTCAAATCCTTTGTTGCATTACTAATCTATGGATTTTTCTGTGTTACAGTGTTACAAAAATAATATTATTATGAAATGTATGGAATGAAATCAGGTCTAAGATGAAACAGCTTCCCTGTCTTGCTCACAAAATCCAAAGAGGGTGCCACTGCTTTTGGCAAGACTTTTTCGGGCGGGAGAACATTTGGCGTGCTCCACCCTTGCCATTTCATCCCCAATCACCTTTACACCATGCCAACGAATGTACAGGAATTATTTGCTTTCACTCATAGTTTGCTTCAGACGTCAGATAATCAAAGTAGAGCCAATGGGGATATCCCTCGTTTTTCCCAGTTACGCTCTGTTGCGACTTACCGTCATTTCCTGGGGGGGGGGACATTTCCTTCACCCCATGTGGCCCCATCTTCAGTGCTAAGGCAACCATAAGGACAAGGATTGGGTTTTGATAAGACCCCAAATGTAACACAGTTTTCAAGGGCTCTTGTCACCCCATCATCCAGCAATGGATGGAAACATCTTTGCCAAACTGGGTGCCCCAGCTTGATGAGATAAGCTCCTCATCTTTCCTGGGGTCCTGGTTTGCAGACTGATGAGGCCTGTCCACGCTCAGAACTGCCACTGCCATGCTTTAGCAATTCAGGAGCTTTGTGGCAACTTCAATGAAGAGAGGGATCCTGGGCGGTCCAGTCAGAAGCTGCCCAGAATTCAAAATAGGCCAATGGGAAATGCTGGCTGACTGGAGGCTGCGGCCAATCAGAAGCTGTGACGCATAGATTGCTTGGTGGACTGGAAGGGAAGAGTTTTCACTCAGGTCTGCCAAGCAGGCATTTAAGCAGTGCTGGGAGCTCCCTCTGGTCAGTCTTGTGATAATAGTTTCAGCCACGCTCACACATGCCTGCCCATGCCCAGCCCTTTTGCAAAAGGAAGCATGAACCATTGCAAGGGAGAAGGGAGGATGAGGATGCAGGTGGTAATGCTGGAGGCCCCAAGTTAAGGGAACATGTGCAAGGGGGATATTGGTTAGTTGCCCCCCTCAACCATATCCTTTGCAATGCCCGAAGACTATCCAGATACTGTAGATGGGCAGCCACTTATTTGACTGAGAGTTTTCCAAAGGGTTTCCAGATACCATTCCAGGCAACTGATTTAGGCAGTCTTGCATCAACAAAGCCACTCTCTAGTGTGGTAGATTGAAGCCAAAATCAACAAAGAAGCAGCAGATGGTTCTTCCTTCCTTTGAGAATTTGAGAGTGTCTCCATTTGGAATGGTCTCCAAAAAATACACGAAGGGAGCTTCATTTAATTCATTACTTGTCCTACCCTAAAGTAGGGTCAGTGAAATGATGATCTTCCCCATGACCCCTGTTCAGTTAGGCATGCAGTTCAAAAAGGGGAAAAGTCAGGGAAGGCATTAAGACTTGGGTATATCACCACTATGAAGGAGGACAGGCAGGTGGTCATACAGAGATCCGGAATAGATCAGGTGGGGAAAAGAAATGACATCTTTTTGAGACAGGCAATGGGGGTGATTAGTTGTCCAGGACAGGCAATGAGGACATTCCTGTGAGAGCATCTTGAATGCTGGGACCTCTTGTTCATTCACACAGCCAGTAGAATTCTTATCCAGTTTCAGTTTACAGCAATAATGTGGGCAGGGCTAGCTTCCCTGGGGCTCTCAATGGCAGAGTTCGGTACACATTCATTTGGCACTGGGGCAGTTAGAGCTGCTTTTTCCATGGGTTTGCCACTGGCTAGGGTCGATAGTGGTCAGAGGCATACAAACTGTATGTACACCCACATTAACTATTGTGCCCAGATGATGCACAACAGGTAATCTTGGTGTTCTTTGTCACCCTTTGATTACAGAACTTAAGAAAATGGTGTGGATCTGTGATCACAGTATCACCTTTTGGGATCAACAATCCCTGCTACCGATGGGCCTTGGTCCCCGTCTGGGTCTGGAAAGAAAACTTTGTTTCAGGTAGGTTGGCTATTGTTTGTTTGTTTGTTCGTTCGTTCGTTCATTTACACATACCCCACCCATCTAGACTGAAGTCTACTCTGGGCAGCTAAAGGAATGAAATGAATGAAACAGCAAGGAATGAAACAGAGTTATTTCTGCCCCCATCAGGTAGCACCTGCTGCTCCACTCTCTTCCTCATGCATTGGTGATCCAGCTTGAGAGTAATGACCTTCCTGCAAGGAAGAACTTTGCACTGATGCTAGATATGGCTGGCAAGTGGGTCACCTGATGCAAGTTTCAGCTCCTTCAAGCTGCACCAAGACTCTTCTACAATGGATCAAAGATATGTCCTGTCATTTCTCCGTAATGTTTCATAGTACACATTGGAGATTTTCTTTGAGGGTGGGGAAGTGTGCTGCCTGAGAGTCCCTTCCCTGGATCTGCAAATAGCAGGACTCACCACTAAAGTCAAATCTCACTGGTGATATGTTGTTTTCATAAAGTCAAATCAGAGTAAGAGCAAGCAGCACAGCTCTCAGCTTGGCTGGGTGTTTTGTGAGAGTGATTTTCTGTATGCTAGCAGTGGGGTAGTATTTCTCTCCTTTATTTTTTCAACTACAGACAGCATTTTTCCTTTAACAACCCCACCTTTCAAGGAAAAAATTGCTTCTGGTTGCCTTGTGCAATAATGAGCAGTTGGAGTGTGTGTGTGTGTGTGTGTGTGTGTGTGTGTGTGTGTGTGTGTGTGTGTGTGTGTGTGTGTGTGTGTGTGTGAGAGAGAGAGAGAGAGATGAAAGAATTTCTTCCAGATTTGAAATGAAAAGCAATAAAACAGCTGTGATTTCCTCTTAATTTACATAATGCTGCACATAATGATAGGTCATTAAATGACATTGTTTGAGATAGAAACCCTGCTCAATTTGCACAATTTGATCACTTGTATATGATTTAGATCATGATTTCTTGGCTGTTGTTGGTTTTCTCTGCCTAATTTGTTTTATGTTTCTGCCTTTGTAGATATTTGATAGAAATGACTTGATTTCTGGGGCCCGTTGCAAATGCGCATGTTTTGTACTTGTAGACTTGGATGACAGCTGTTGCCGTCTACCAGGAAAACACATGCCTGCCCAAACACCCATGGAGAGGGGGAGAGAGAGAAACAGCACCACAGTGCTACAACTTTAATCACTTGCTGTGTCCAGGAATAGCCCCAGATGGTGAAGAGGATGGCGAGGGGATGGACAACGATTTCTGGAACTTGGGGAAGAACGTGTTTGATCAAAACTATTTTTTCTGATTCACACATGGGATCTGATCTCCACCCAGTCTTCCTCCCTCCCTCCCTGTTCTTGATCCTGCTACCACAAAAATGTGTGGAAGCTCCCTTTCCTCTGTTATTCCTAGCAGGTGTCTGCAGTGTTCAAAGATCTGATGGCTGATGCTCAGCAACATACATAGGGAAGAAAGGTAAAGAACAGGCTGGCAGGTCTGTTTCTGAAGAAAGTTGATTTGGTTGACGCTTCGATCTTACAGACTAACGTAAGAGGTGTGATAGGGCATGTTGTGACCTGGGTTGCTATTGGCAGTGGCTCCTGCCACTGAGGAGCAAGCAACCAAATGTTTTATCCCCTTATTTTATAACATTTTGGTAAATTTCTGCCTGAATGGGCCCTAGTTGAATATTGATGTATATAAGAGTGGGAGATGTTGTGCCCTTCCTGCCCATAACTGCACACAGACTCTTCCATGGCTGGTGATAGGATCCTTCGAACTAACCATCTGTGGGCAATTTGTACCAAGCTACCCCCCTTCCTTCCCCAGTCTACCCTTTCTGCATATTCTGGAACTGACTGGGCGCCTGGATGCAATTTGTGGCCAGAAATCAACTCATTGTGAGGCTTACAATGCATTCTGTGGGACAAATGTTATCTACTCACCAACATGCTTCTAAAATGTGCAGAACACTGCTTTTGTCAGTGATGCCTCCACCTACTGAGAATATTTTAAAATGTGCAACAAAAATGAATACCTTCGGGAAAATATATATATACAAAAACACACCTTTTCCTCTGAAAACAAACAGCTATGTGTAACCAGAATAAAATGAGCTTGTTATTAAAACATATCATTCCACCCAAAAAAATGGAATGGAGGTTTTAGAATGTCTTAAGTATGTGTATCAGTGTGTTGGTGTGGCACCACTATAGTGAGGCGTAAATACATCGAGTAGAGATGCTGTCACGATATCGTATATGAGCATATAAGATATAAGAAGGCTAGATATTTATTGATTTATGATGCAGATATGATAAGAAAAGTAATGTTGAAAGCAAAATGCATTTTTCATCTCTAAAGGTTTCCTGTGAGGATTTGAATAAGGGATTTGAATGTCACACTTCGGAGTGTATATACTGCGATGGGATAACCGTTTTTTAAATGTGAATTCTGCATCATTTTCCTAAATTGCTTGAGCACAGTTACATGCACACAGGCTCCCGAGGTCAAAACCATTACTGTAAATTACACAAATTCAAGAACTTCGTATTTCGGCAACAATTATTTCATGACTTTCTCCACAGTTTGACTAAGATGGCTTTCCCCCCATTAATTCACAGTGGTGCTGCCATGAGTTTCTGAAATTTCATTTCCTCTTATGCTAACAATCTCAGTGCCTTTCATTAATCCTGTGTGTGTACTCTGTACAGAGACCAAAATGATTTAAGTTTAGTTATTAAAATTGTAGCGGTTGCCTAGAAGGAAAGCAGAGAAGGACAGTTTTACAGTTAACCAAATCCTCCAGGCGTTTGAGGCTTACAGTTGGCTCAGCCTTTTGAGATAAGCTCACATGTGATGAGGGGATGGAAGCGCAACTAGGCAACGGGGATGTACATGTATAAAGCCAAATTTTAGCCACCTTCATTGTGTTACCATCAGGTCCAAATGGAAACCTTTCCAGGGTTTCCGAGGCAGCAGATTATTCTAGCTTTGATTGCTACTTGATGGTCTTCATAAAGTGGGGACATCAACATCTACAAGCACATGCAGTAGAGAGTAAAAGAACCCATCTTACCACTTGGCAGATAATCAGGTTATCTTACCTCAGGCCTATATGAGAGCAGAGCAATCCTTTGTAAGGAGGAGAAGAAGGGATCCATGACACAACCACAGTCACATCCAGACCACTGACAGATCACAAGTCAGAGCAGGAGGTGGGATATGTGCAAGGTGTGTGAGTGTGGGTGGGTGTCTTCTCTCTGGGCCTTTATTGGACCACTAAGATATCACAAAGTGGACTATGAAGTAAGGACAATATCGTATTCCAGCCACCAGGTTAATAACTCAATTTAGCAACAATTAGCTTATAGTACTCATCATGATGTAGTGGGTAGAGGGACAGACTAGAATTTTGGGGACCTGTGTTTGAATTCCCACTCAGCTATGGAAAATCACCGGGAGTGATGGCACAGGTAAAACTACTCTTTAAATACTTCACTTAATTTGGATCCCCCAGTACAGTCACCATAAGCCAGTTCCAACTTGACAGCACATAACACACACATAGCTGGCTTACCAGTAAATATGTAAACCAGTGATGGTGAACCTTTTTGAGCCCGAGTGCCCAAACTGCAACACAAAATCAACTTATTTATTTCAAAGTGCCACTACTGCAATTAAAACCCAAATGCTGAGGTTTTAGTTTAAAAAACCAACTGCTCCTGCACTGCAAAGGTTAAATGCTTGGTTGTTGTCTTTTCCTATGGGCGGTATTGACAAATAAATACTTACTGGTCCTCCAATCCCCCGTTGGGCTAGACCGGTGGTGGTCACGATTGCACCCCTCCACCGGACCACTGCACCAGCAGAGGGGAGTGCCGAAATCCAGGATCGGAGGACAGGTAAGTATTTCTCTATGGCAACTTATGGCTTGTGTGCCCACAGAGAGGGCTCTGTGTACTAACTGTGGCACGCGTGCCATAGGTTCGCCATCACTGGCCTAGTGGTTCAGGTGTCTATGAAGGCAAGCCTTGATTTCTCTCAGTTTGAGAGAGAGCCATGGTTGTGTTCTTTCATTTTCATTGGGGCCTAAGGCACCGCATTTTCTGCTGACTTACTAGACACGCAGAGAAGCTTCCTGTATTCTTGCTTTGATGGGCAAAAGCCTGACCTGTGCTAAGATTTGCATGTGGTGTTATCATTCACAAGACCTCTTTCTAGTGTACCATTCATAATTGTTATACTGAGAATACATCTTTCCATGACTGTTGTTTGCAGTGGTAGTAAAGGCCTGATCCAGAAGCACACTCTGGGGGTGGCGGAGGGAGGCAGTCCTGTGCCTGCTTACCCAGCAGCGTGTTCCATTCAACTCATTTGGACTCTGAGGAGACATTTTAGGTTTGCAAATGTCTAACTACAAAACAAGTTCTTCCAGCAAATGGATCGATAGGAATGGACCTAAAATATAAGGCCCCAGGAACAAGACAGTTGGGCCACCTGCCTGCAACATCAGCTGTAATGAAAATACAGGCATGCAAAGCACAGCCAGTGGTATTAATTGATTGTCCAGACTCTTATTAATAATTGGTAGGTTTTTCCTTACTTTCCAAACTTAATCATGATCTACTAAGAGTCATAAAGAGTAGTGTTATGTAGGGATTTAGCTTGTCCACTGAAAGGCTAAAATTGAGGGGAGAACAGGAGCACCCCTGCAACGCTTCCAATGGCTCTATGCCCCCTCCCCCACACCCTCGTCATCTTTAAAACATTTAGAATTAAGTATGCTTTCAATTAGCCAGGGCACATTATATATTTTAAAAATCATGTAAAATGTAAGCTTTTGTGGGTGAATCACATGATCAGAGGGACTTCTGACATCATCTTCAGGACTCAGCCAATCCCGAGGGTTCAGCTGCTGCTGCCATGGGAACCCAACCCATTTTCTCCTGGGTCTTTGTGACCTCACAGGGGCCCCACCTCTCTGCTGGCAGATAAAAGGGGCTTGCTGGGCAGGGCAGGAGACCAAAAGGGAGGCCAGTGGCCAGAGGGCAGTCTGGCTGAGAGAGCGGCAGCAGCTGCAGGGGACCCAGCCCTTCTGCCCAAGGCAAGTTCTCTGGCGAAAGCAGAGGAACTTGCTAAGTGGGCTTGCGAGTTAACAGCTCAAGGGTGGCGGAGATCCGTGGCTTGAAGTTGGCTGATGTCGGTGATGGACCAGGGATACGTCGGTGAATGTTGGCAGACAGAAGCTGGTGGAATCTCCCTGCGGAAGCTGGCTGAGGCCGCAAGGTGGAGGCTGGCAGAGGTTGGCGGATGAAGCCGGGGGACGTTAGCCTCCTGAAAGCAGCTGGCGGACACTTGGTGCATATTGGTGGATGGAAGCCCGGGCATGTGTGTGAATGGCTGGTGGAGTGAAGGTGTGTGTGTGTCGGGGGTGCGGCTGGGGTGTGTGTGTGTATGTGTGTGAATGGGCTGGCTGGCATTCCATGGGGATGTCGCCAGGGTGTGAGTGTGACCCAAGCATTCGGATATTCCTGGTGGAGGCCAGTGGATGTTGGCAGGTGGAACTTCAGGATGAAGTTGCCAGAACATTCGTGGGTGGATACGCCTGGGTTGAAGCCGGTTGACGGCCATGGACGAGCTCACCCCTTAGTTGTTTTTTTCTCTTTTTCTCTTGCAGGGCCCGAAGCTTCCTCTTCCCCAGGGGGAAGGGAGAGACCAGAAGGCAGGCATCCTGCTGGAGCTGAACCAGGCCGTTGTCTTCGCTGCGGATACACAGGATTATCTTCCCCATCCCCTCATTATATCTGGGGCCCCATGCCTGGGATGGGTCTTTGTGAATTCATGGTGTGGGCCCTTGTGATGTCACAGGAATTGGGAACATAATATTTCTCCATGCATGTGTGAGGGAGTGAGCTAGGCATTGTGGGTTCCCTGCCTGAGCTCCTAAGCAAATATATTATATGTCATGTTGGACAGACACAGGAAGCCAGTGAGCCCTGGCGCCATTCGGAAAGAGTTGGAGTTGGGTAGCCAAACACTATGGCCACCCCGTAACAATAAACGAGATTCGCTCCTTCCCTTCCACCACCGCTCCTCACATTTGTTTGCCTGGCCTGGAGATTCAGGGGAGTCCAGCCATTTCCTGGCACAGCAGCTCATTCTCTGAGACTTGGCAAGCCTCATCTTAACCATCAACACCATGAGCACTCCATAGACAGCTCCTTGCAGAGTACAAGTGGGGAGAGAATATGCCACTTCAAAGAAGCTTACAGTTCAACCTCTCAGGCCAGTGCCACAACCGAGGAAATGGAGATGGGCAATGATTTGGAGATGAGCATACTTTAAAATTCATGTGGATCCATGCTATGGAGAGATGGCAAAAATACACCGGTACTGCAAAATCCTCTGCTTGAGGGCAGTGGCTGCCTCTGAGCGCCTAAACTAAATGTTATCTCAACTTCTCTAACATGGGGGTTTGCCACATTTCTGTGTTCCTGTACTCCCCACAAAAAACGAACTAAGTGTTTCAATATAACACTTACTTGCAACCCTTTCTTTGGCAAGATAGGGAGGGACATTCTAATCCACATCCTCAGAGGTAACATCTGAAACCTAACCCTAAACTGACCTTGCAGGCTCCATTTTGGATCTGACTTTTAAACTAGAAACCCTGACCTGTACATTTAGCCAAGGGCTCTGGGTTTTGTTACATTTCTTTGGCACCATCCACTGCTCTATAATAACCAGCCTGATAAAAATTTGTTATAGGAAGTGGAAGCTAGCTTCTGTTTGCCATATTTTAATGGTCTAATGAAGGCATCCGGTTCCCAGTGTGGTGTAGTGGATGGAGCGATGGACTAGGACTTTGGGGAACAGGGTTCAAATCCCCACATGGCCATGGAAATTCACTGGGGGAATGAAACTGGTAAAACCACTTCTTAAATATCTCACTTACCATGTAAACCCTGTTAAGACTGCTATGCCAGTTCTGAACTGAAAGTATGTAAGAACAATAAAGGCATCACCCAACCTCATATTTTGATTGGGTGTAAGTACTACACAGACGTTTCTCCCTAAAAGTATGTAAGAACAATAAAGGCATCACCTAACCTCATCTTTTGATTGGGTGTAAGTACT